ATTATTATTATAAGTATTATTTATTAGTTAAATAAACAATTAGATATTATATTTAAAAAAGTAAAATAATTATATTTTTTCAAAAAATTAACTATAACAAAAAAGTTTATTAAGTAAAGTATATTAGACTCTCTAACAAAAAAGATTCTTTGCATAATTTTATATATAATTTATATATTTTAAATTTTTATTTTAACTTTACTAGATAAATTTTTATATTTTAATTTAATAATAACAAGTGTAAAAACTAATAAATAGCTTTTAATTAACTATTAACAAGAGGCTTACAAGTAACTTAATAAATATTAATTATATAATATTTATATAATAGAAATATTTCAAAAAATCAATAGGTTTCTGTAAAGTAGAAATTTTTGAGCTTTATAAAAACTTGAAATTCTATTTAAATCATACAAACACAATGAAATTTACATAGATATTTTATAAATCTATATACATTTTCTACTGTCAACTATGGATATAACGGACACCCTTACACCGGAATCACTAATTCAACGGACCGAATTTTTATATAATTTATGTTATAACGGATTTAATAGTAAAAAGGCCATATTACGTATAACGGAATTCTTTGTCAGCCCATATTATAAAATTCTAATCTATATAACGAATTCAATATAATGCGACAACTTTTTTTCTAACCGTTATAACGGAACCCAGCCTAATTCTGTTATTTATAATTCCGTTATATGGGTTATAACGAATATGCTATATAACGGAATTTTTCGATTAGCCCAGATTTCCGTTATAACCATAGTTGACAGTACATGGAATTAATTTAAATATTAAAGTTAGAATTGGATTTTAAAGTTTAAATGGGTTTTTTTTAGCATGCTAAACAGTTTTACTTAGTGCATCGAACGGTAATTATCTTAGTCACTTTTGAACAATGGTTAAAGTAATCAAACTATTTTTATATAAACGCAAATAAGGTTTATATTTATATAAATTAATAAATAAAATAATATAATATATAAATATTAATTAAGTTATATATAAAAAATCCATCCATATAAATCTACATTGGGTTTATAAATCTATATACAGATATAAAAATTGTATATAACATTATATACATTTATAGAGCTACATAATTTTTTCGGAGATACATGAATTTTATAAAAAATGTACTTGCTAATGTAGTCATATAAAGTTGGACATACTAATACACTAAAACATTAGACCACAACTATAAGTTGAATTTATTACTATATGAAGAAACACTTTTTATAGAAAACACTAAAACGCTAAACTATAAAGTATGTCACTTTTTGTATCTATGGTAAACCACATAGTTGCATCACCATGGATATCTACATACGATTCTTCTAAATTTTCATGTATTATTTTAGAATTACTTAATTCTAATTGAATTTTCTCATCATTTTGCCATTCGCTTATAATCTTACGGAGTTCTTCAGCTCTAGTTTTACATAACACTGTGGTGCTTCTTTGTTAACAGATGGTCGTAAATTTTTCATAACATTTTTATTTGAAGTTCGGGTTTACTTGAATTAAAATTATATGAAACAGACTTTCCATACAAAATTTCCCACATAACTAGGATTGGGATTGGCTCATAGTAAGCCGACGTGAGCCAGCTCGGCTCGGCTTATATAATACAGCAGCTGATTTTCTTTCTGATTTGCTAATTACGTTACAAAATCGAATAGAAAAAATTTATTATAATAACAATTTTTATCCCGATAGCTATCGTCAAATGAGTATCTGGTTTAATAATGCCTGACGAATGACGTAACCTTTCGTCACTGACGAATAACGAATTAGTAAATTTATAGGCTGTCGCACTATTGAACATGTGATGTATGTGACGCAGATCCCGAAGGACAAATAAAATTTTAGGATCATATATAGCGCGACATTATCAGAAAGATTCAAAGCAAACGTTCGTTTGTCAAAAATTTACTCAATAAAAAAACTTTTCCCAAAGACTGACCATCTTGTTAATTTTAGCTTAAATACGAATGTTAGTCTTTATAACAATGAGTTTTAAAGAATTTTGCATTACTTGAATGTGTGCCAGGTTCGTGGTGCAACAAAAAAGTTCTTCAAAGCTTGTTTATGTTAGGGTTAGGGTCAGGTTTAGGAATTAGAAGGGAGTAGTTTATACAGTAAATTGCCCAACGAAACCTTTTTTTAGAGCACTAAAGGTGGTTACTTATGCTGATTTTTGAGAAATAAGTAATTTTTTGACAAGGTGAAGATTTGTTTTGAATTTTCTTGGTGTTAAGTTCCACCTGATGTTGGAATCTGTGCCATAAGTCTGGCAGACATTCAAGACGTGCAAGAATTTTGTTTGTGTCACAAACCTGGCACACATCTCATGGTGCAAATATATGCACTACAGTTATGCAGATTTAAAATATCACTTCGTTTCTTATATGTTACTCGTCACGCCATCTTTGAGAAATTTGCATGTCACCTGTTATCACTCGTTCGTTCATTATTATATTGCTTTTTTATTATATAGATAGCTATTTGTGCAAATGTATCTTTTTATAAAATATGATTGGTCAATGCTTTGAAATGGTAACGTTGCAAATTCAAGTATAGCTACGATATATTCGAGTATTTTATCATACCGCTAACTTTATTTAAATTTTAGTCATGATTTTCAAGAATTCGGATTGTAATACTCTAAATTACGATCACAAAGACGACTACAATATGAAACGGAAATAAACAATTAGAACAATTTGAATGCATAAGAATTATCTGGTAATATATGGACGTAGAATAAACCAGCCTTTCCTATTGTAATATACAAATTAGGGAAAAATCAAGATATAGATAAAGAAGTCCTATAGGCAAATTAGGAAAAATCGAGTTGTACATACTGTAGATGAAAAAGCCCCATACGCAATTTCTAATCACATAACTATAGAATAGTAATAGTGCAATAAACTCGTATCTATAATAAATAAGCAAAAACAAGACATAACTTGCATTTGTACTTTTTTTTTTAATAAGTTTAACTTTGTCTAGAATTTTACCTTTATAGGGGTCTCGCCGTTTTCACCATCTGACAACAATGGTTTCGCCTAACAACAATAGTCCCATCAAAGTTGTCCAAGGAATAGAGATTAAAATAAGGCATCATCAATTTTAATTTTACTGGAGTCTGAAGTTAAAGATGCTTTTAGAGAAAAGTTGCACTTGATTGTATAATTTTACTGCTAAAATTTTAGGGTGCGGTTATACTGTAAGTCAATACAGGATTAAATATAATAATCTAACTTTTTATTAAATAAGATTTTTGGGGCTTTGAACATTTTTAGTTTAGACACCAAGCATTAATTATAGCGATAGTAGTTTTGGATTTAGCAACACTGTGGCTTTGATGTTATCCTTACATACATATATATGTACGTACATACTACTTTAAAGTGAGATTTTAAATCAATCGGCCTCTTGTAAAATTTGATTGCAAGCAAAACAGGTCAACTCTATAGAAATTTCAAAAAATAAATCAAGATGTCAGATGGTAATCAAGAAGATAAAAGCGAAGATAAATCAAATGATATTGTTACTGTCGATACGACTGAAACTAGCAGTGATATGAAGACAAATGCTCAGATGGCTCTAATGATTTTGAAACACCAATATGAACGAGCTCTTGAACTTCAGGAAAAAGTCTGGAAAATAAATTTCTATACAGCCTTATTATGTATTATGGGTATAGTTGTTGGGGTTGTTCTTTTAGTTTTAAAAGTACGTCTTACGGATTTAAATTCAGTTGTAAGCATTTCCGTGTCTCTTGGTAGTTCTCTCATTTCCGGAGGTGGTGCAATTGCAGCTTTTAGATCATTTATTAGCTCCGCTTCCAATTACGGTACAGGATCTGTTATTGAGAAAGAGATTAAAGGTCCTGATTTCGATAATCTTGCAGAACCTGCTGCTCTAATTGTGGAATCCGGAGTAATGGATGAAGTGTATAAAAATATTAATAATTTAAGATCAAATAATAACGAAAATACAAAATTGGAAGCGGCTCAAACTGTTTATGCGTTTATTGGTTGTTTGGCTCTTTTTGCTATTGCGGGGTATGATTTTTTTAATTTTGTTACTGGACATTCTAATGAAATTTATGTGGAAATTGTTCTTATTATTCTTGGTTTCATTGGTCTTTTATACTGTCTGTTTGTCGCTCTCACGATATCATTTGCAAAAAAAAACTTGAAATGGTTTCGTTTTTGTATTTGTCCTTTTGTTTGTGGCGTTTGTATTATAGACAAACATTGTGAACTAAAGGAGATTCGTTTTTCACGTGTAGAAGAAGAAAGAATTTTATATCATCTTAAAGGTTTAAAGTATGATACTAAAATTCATGAAACGGATACTAAAAAAATTAATGAAACGGATGATACTAAAATTCATAAAACGGATAATAATACTGTCAGTTAAGGGCAATAATATCTTCACGGAGAAAGCTTTTTTCACAATTTTCATAGTTTTGTTTGCACAAGTATAAGATCTGGAGATTTTTGGGTTCGAAAACTTTTCCATTCCAATTGTGCTATAGAATGAATATTAATATGCAAAGAATTTTTAAGCTCGTATTGCATTACAAGAATATAATTTTTAGAAACATTATCTTTCGAAATGCTATAGCACCGTAAAAATGTTTAATTTTTATTTCCAATTTCACAATGTTTTTAACTTTTTGAATTAAAGATAAGTAGTCAAATGTAAACATTAGAATTTTAAACATGTTAGCGCATAAATGAATTACCTCTTTCATAAATTCATCATTATATTCTTTTGAATAATGAAGTAATTTAAGTGCAACATGGTGGACAGTGATTCTACCGTTCTCTTTACACAAAGCATGATATACTGTAGCAGATTCACCTTTTTCTATAAATTGAATATTTTCAAATTCATCATAAGAAATCCAAGATAACGAATATTTACTATCAACCAAGATTTCTTTAAATTTTAATCAATATCTAAATTTATAATCAATAATAATTAATTACCTGTTACTTGTTCCCGTTCCCTAATAAATTATTTTAATGTAATTTTATCATGGCAACATAAAAATAACTTACATCTGGTGCCATTCATTAGCTTTTTGTAAGTCTCTTGTTACTTCAATATCATTTCGATAATAAAGTCCAACATAACGCATATCCCATTTTAGTAAATTTTTTAATATAAATGAATGCTTTATGTTCATCCTTTTCTATTTAAACTCCAGATCGATAACAATATCCAACATTATATGTTCCTATAGCGTGGCCTATCTCTGCAGATTTGTGATAGTAAATGAATGCCTTATTTTCATCATTTTTGACTCCCTCTAAACCTAACCTACTTATAATATCCTAATAGCGAAATGTTTTTTCTTAGTTTGCAATAAGGTCACATGATATGTGAAAAATTTTTTCTGGTGTTACTAGTCTTGTAGCCCATATACCGACAACTTGCAACCAATAAGAACGCAAAAAAAAATTGTCTTAGTCACTTTTGAACAATAGTTAAAGTAATCAAATTATTTTTATATAAACACAAATAAAGTTTATATAAATTTTTATATTTATATAAAATAATAAAATAATATATAAATTTTATATTTATATAAAATAATAAAATAATATATAAATTTTATATTTATATAAAATAATAAAATAATATATAAATTTTATATTTACATAAAATAATAAAATAATATATAAATTTTAATTGAATTATATATAAAAATCCAACCATATAAATCTATATTTGGTTTATAAATCTATATAAAATTGTATACAACACATATAACATTTTATATATCATTTATAGAGTTACATGAATTTTATAAAAAAATGTATTTCTCACCTTAATACCGAAAAAAAAATAATAATAAATGTATTTGCTAATGTAGTCATATAAAGTTGGACATACTAAAAAACTAAAACATTAGATCACAACTATAAGTTGAATTTATCATTATATTAAGAAACACTTATTATAGAAAGCACTAAAACACTAAACTATAAAGTATGTCACTTTTTGTATCTATGATAAACCACATACTTGCATCACCATGGATATCTACATACAATTCTAAATATTCATGTATTATTTAATTCTGATAGAATTTTTCTCATAATTTTGTCGTTCGCTTATAATCTCACGGAGTTCTTTAGCTCTAGTTCTACATAACACTGTGGTGCTTCTTTGTTATCAAGTGGTCGTAAATTTCATACCATATTTTATTAGAAGTTCGGGTTTGCTTGAATTAGGATTGGGATTGGCTCATAGTAAGCCGGCTTACCACGGCTTTTGAGCTGAGCCGACGTGAGCCAGCTCACTTGGCTTATATAATATAGCATATTGTGAGTATTGTGAGCAGTGGAAACGTGATCCCGGGAGCACATGGCAGGGGATGATCGATGTGGCGCAGTAACGCAATTAACGGCTATGTCGATCATCTACCTAAAATGGGTTTCCCGGGATTATCGGTCGTAAAAGTCGTTTAGAAGATATAAGGGTAATAGCGGTAATAAGGACTTTAAGGGAAAACCATAAGTAAAGGGATATATGATATATAGGGGCTTTAAGTAGTATAGGATATTTAAAGTATATACGATAAATAATAATTTTAATATCTTTAATAGCTGTAGGAGTGCATAAGCAATGAAACAATATATAATAAAGGCTTTGTGCCCTACATGATGAGCAGTTTTCGTGCTTGCAATACATTTTGACCCAAATACTTTCCTGCTTTCGTGACAATATATTATAAAACCTACGATCATAAACACACCACTCGCCAAATCTAACCACCTCTTATCAACTAAGCTATTTGTAGGTTACATGGCATATTCATCTGTTAAGTGACTAACTTGCCACATCACTCATGTCATTTTGGTGGTGACTGTGAGATACAAAATGTTAGCTACCCTCTTCCCAATTCAAATTTTTGTGTTAGTTCTTGAAAACTCCTTTCCCATATAACCATACTATTAAAAAGATACCTCTATACTAAAGCCAAAATGAATAAGAATCAGCTGAAAGAACTCCTGGATGGTTTAACTATATCTTTCTCCCAAGTTGCAATTACTATTGCTAATTCCAAGAAGGACCCTGAAGACAAGAGGGAGCTGACTCATATGAAGATTGTTTCCTTTTACAAGAATGATAAAGAAGATCCTATTGAGTGGTTGAAGTCATTTGAAAGAGCCACTGTGTCTAATAATTGGTCTGAGCAAAGAATATTAAAGATCATGTCTAGATATCTCCAAGGTTTGATTGCTAATTGGTATAAAGAAAAAAAAGAATAGTTAAAAGAATAGAAGAATGATGATGATCAAGAAAGAAGTTTTTATCACATTTTTCTGGAATTTTTTGCTATGATAGAGAAATGTTATTATTGGCGAATAGAATTGAATAATCTTTAACAATAAAAGGATGAGAAGATTGATGCATATGCAACAAAATTTAAGCATCTTGTTGCCAGAGTGAATCCTGAAAAAGAGTTATCCAATTCCTATATTATTAGAATGTTCTTAAGTAGACTATATAACAAGACTCTGATCTTTGTAGTCATTTTCAAACCTGACACTTTAGAAAAGACTATTGTCATTGTATAAAGGATTGAAGTCAGTGAATATTATAGCAAACAGATCCAAGAGAAAGGACACCAAAATAAGTTAAAAGAGGAATTAGGTAACCTATTCTAGAAAATTAAGCAGATGGTCTTGAATTATACTGCTCTTAGTGAGAAACATCCTAGAGAATCTTATAGTAAAAGTAATTAGAAGAGTAATAAAGATCAGAAGAAGTATCATGAATTTAGAAAGAAAATAATATATTATAACTGTAGTAAGATGGGTTATATTATTCATTATTGTTTGTCAGAAAAGAGTCCTAGAATACATAAAGACTAGCAAAAGAAAATTAGTAATTATATGAAAAACTTGGTGTCCAATAATAATGCTAAAGTCTGAAAAAAGGATGAAGTATACAACTTAAATGAAAATAGATACCAACTATATAAAAGAAATAGAGAAAAAATACTGCAAGGTCAATCTGAGTTCCAATGGAAGAATAGGTTAAGGAGTCACCCAAATACCAATCAACTACTCATAAATTTGGATAGAGATATTGAAGTAATAAAAGAGAATAAATTTGTATTAACAAGTAAAAGTTTATATGAATTCAAAATGATGTCATTCAGATTGTGTAATGCCTCTATAATGTTTTAGTGACTAATAGGTAAGGTATTGGCAAGTATATCAAAAAGTTTATAGTAATATATATTGGCAACATTAACATGTACTTCAGAACATTTTAAGAGCACTTAGATCATCTAAAAAAAGTGTTTATAAAACTAAATTTAGCTGGATTAAAGATTAATTTAGAAAAATGTAGTTTCTTTAAAACTGATTTTCAGTTTTTAAAACATGTGGTGAAACATAGCAGTATCTAACCTAATGAAGCAAAGGTCAAAAAGTAAAACATTATCCCATATTCAAGACCTGACAACTAAGAGCCTTTATAGAACTAGCATCCTACTATTGTTGGTTTTTATCTAAGTTCTGTAACTGTTATACAGCCTTTACACAGATTGTTAAAGAAGAATATTAAATATGAATGGACAAATGATCAACAGAAAGCATTTGAAAAATTAAAGACCCATTTAATCTCAACCCTTATCCTTCAGTATCCAACGTTTCAAAAACATTTTACTTATATATAGATGTGTCTAGTACTGGATTGAGTGCAGTATTAGTATAGAAGAAAGAAGATGGCAAGAAATATATAATTTTGTACATTAGTAAAGAGTTGTTATGAGCAGAAAAAACTATTCAACTATGGAACTGAAGTGCCTTGCAGTACTATAGACCATCAAATATTATTGTCATTACTTTAGATTTAGACTATTTATAGTAATAATAGATTATATAACATTAAAGTGACTTCATACATCTAAGCTGAATAGGAGATATGCTATATGGATTATACAGTTACAACTCTACAACCACACTATAGAACATTGGGCTAATAGGAAGCATAGTAATGTAGATGCACTTTTATAACAACATGACCTTTAGAAAGTCAGTAGTAATGAGATAGAAATAGGTGTAAGTATACAAAAATGTAGGAAATAGTTACTAATATTAGCAAAGTATAGTACAGATAAATATAAGAACAGGACTAAGCAAAGATAACAGCAATAGTATTAAAAATATAGAATAAATCACTCATGACAATAAAGAATAGGACAATATAGAGTGAATTGATAATACCTTTTAAGTAATGAAAATGTGGTAGAATTTTGATAAAAAATTTGAAATGTTTATAGTAATAAAAGAAATGGCTAACAAAGAAAAGAAGATATAAAATTGGAAGAAGGTAAAAGATTAAGAAGTAGTTTAATAAGATTTACAGTCTTTCTTAAAGAAAATAAACTT